CATACCTAGGACGGGCTCGTCTTGCCTACCGAGCCTTTACTCATACCTTGACTAAAGTCTTACCATTCAAGATGTTCACGGACCGTGAAATTAGAGTTCCTTCGGACATTTTGCTTTCCCGTAAGAATCCGACAGGTGATAATGCACCTCAGTACGACTTACGACTAAAAGAGAACCTCAGGGAAGTTTTTGATGTTGCGCGCAGACAACTGCAGAAGGCACACGCTAGACAAAAAAGATCCTACGATAGACAGAGCCGAACAAACGTCTTTAAAGAGGGCGATTTGGTGCAATTGTATGGACCAATTTCCCCGCCAGGAACCTATCGGAAATTCTACCACCCCTGCAGCAAGGAACCCTACCGGATAATTGAAGCCCTGCCGCCCACGAATTATCTCGTTTGGAACGCGGAGATCGCTACTCGGCCTCAAACAGTACACCATAACAAGAGTAGGCCATAACGGGTCCACCCCCAGTAGGTTACGAAGACGAAGTCTATACGGTACCAGAAAAAGAGGTTCCGTCAGCACCGGGGATGGTGCTTGAAAGAGAAGGGGGGTTGCATAATATATTCTAGCTTGTTTAATTGGACTTTTATAGGTGAGAGGCGGGACCAATTGGGAGCGTGGATCACGTGCGTGAAGTCGGCGAGGGGTCTCCCTCTGAGTGATGTCTCCTACTCACCTCATCTGTATCCCATTTCATCTTAACCTAATTACTTTCTTATGATAAGTTGGACTCTGAACTCCAAGTACTTCTCTAGGTCTCTTATATGTGCACTGAATTAGTCGTCAGCGGGGAACTTCTAAATCACAAGGAGTGCCGGAAACCTGCATTTAGGTTAGATTGTTAATCGATTGGGGATGCCATAAGGACATATCTATCAAAGATTTGTTCTTCCATAAGCAACGAATTTCTAACATACAACTATACTTTCCCTGACTAATTAAAAGATAAAGTATTACGTGAATGAGCGTTTACCGTTCATCGTTAATGATGAGATGTCGTAGGTGACGTATCGAATAAATAGAAAGTAGAAGGCAGCAATAACGGCGGTCGACGCTACCATATTTACCAAGGACTACAAAGAATAACATGCGTTCCCCCTTGTGAAAATGCAAGCATGAACTAAAATTGGTTGTTTTGCCACACATATTGATAAATGTAATGTCCCAAAAGGCAAAAGTCAGTAAGACATTTCACCAGGAAATTTATTCACCTGACAGCCAATCTGTAATGGAATTTATGGCTTAAACTCTCTTCTTTTAGAGTACATGTTGCAACTTTTAGGTTTTGCGCAGAAAAATAAGGTAGGTTGCTCAGAGTGTGGAGATTTATTAATTTTTTATTTGTGGCACAATAAACATATTTTCGCCTAAATGCTTCTCGAAATAAATTAGCACATTCGGAATACCTTTCTACTACTTGTGCTATATCTAATCTATTGTTGATCTTTTATATCTTAATTTAAAACATTTTGGAATTTCTCTTTGTTTATATGTGCTAATGTTTAATAATTGCTCTCGGCCCGCTTTTTCGTATTTCTGTTTTAGGTTTCTGTCGTGAGCGACGATGGCTCGCACGAAGCAAACGGCTCGCAAATCTACTGGTGGAAAAGCTCCTCGTAAACAGCTGGCCACTAAAGCCGCTCGCAAATCAGCACCATCGACTGGGGGTGTCAAGAAACCCCACCGGTACAGACCTGGCACGGTTGCTCTTCGTGAGATTCGGCGCTACCAAAAGTCCACAGAATTACTTATTCGTAAACTACCTTTCCAACGATTGGTTCGCGAAATCGCTCAGGACTTCAAAACTGATTTGCGCTTTCAAAGTGCTGCCGTGGGTGCGCTTCAGGAGGCCTCTGAAGCATACTTGGTCGGTCTCTTTGAGGACACGAACTTGTGTGCTATCCACGCTAAACGCGTTACTATAATGCCAAAAGACATTCAATTGGCTCGTCGCATACGTGGCGAACGGGCGTAAATAAAGCGTTATAATGCAGCTTTTTATTTGTTAGGAAAATTTCTGTAATTGGTGTTATTACTATTATAATCACTTAATTATCCGTTGTATCGTTGTGTGCATCTATATAAATTATTCGCATTTATGCTGTTTTTAGCCGCTGGTAGTCTTTACTCGTGTTTTATTGGGTTGTGGTCTTCCACCTACTTGTTTTTGACCGAGTTTGAATACAGTCTCTTCCACTGGCTCTGAGTTTTTTGCCCTACAGGAGGTGTGCTAATAAGCCGTTTTTTGACTGGGCGATTAAGGCTGCTACTATGCTTCGTAGTGACCTTGGATTGCAAGCTCGGTTACCCTCGCTTGGACTTTTCATTTGTGAACGGTTGGGGTCTATGCCATTCTGTCTGTTTCCATTGCTCCACGTAGCTGAAGTCAGTTGGGCTCGGAGTAGAGCTTAGTCATGCCTCCAAAATGGTGGAATTGAGGTTGCGAGGAGGATGGATGTCTGGTTTCGGGGGCTAGGGTCCTACGCTCTGCGTAGCATAGTCGTTTCCGCGTTAGGTCACACGGTCGCACCTGGTGCTCGCACGGTCGCACTTCAGGTACGCGACGCATGTGCATGTCTGTCATACTACACCGTCCTCCCATTGGTTCGTGTCTGCACGCAGTGCACGCGTGCTGCTCTAACCAAATGCGCTTAGTGCGCTAGGCGAAACCCTGAAAAGCCGTTCGGTTCGAACCCGCTTTGTGCACTTTGAGAAGGAATATTTCCTCTGTGGAACGAAGTCTTGGTATCAAACTCGTCCTACACAGAGAGGAGGGTGATATTAATTGTCTTATTAATTTTGAACACACTTGAGTGCGTAGAAAGATGCGAAAAGCGACGTTGAACAAAACAGCTCTCAACTTTCGCATGTGTTAACGAGGGAGAGAGCCTTTTAGCGGCTGCAGGCTGCGTGTGTGTTTAGCTAGCAACTTAACCAGTGTCGATCGATGGTTGCCAGCGTTGAAGGTGGTGTGCGCGCGTACGGCAAACAGCCTATGTGGCATGTCCTCAGACCCTTACCACTGCGTCAGATCGATATCGCCCAACCAATCAGTTAGTGGATGATGGTGCTGAATGTTAGCAGACGCGGTAGTTTATGGTGAGGTACTGAGATGCATGCAATCCGCTTCAGCTCTAATATCAGACGTTTCGATGTTTTTTCTTAATGGTTAATTAAACACCTATGGCCTGCAAATCGCGGATATTCGCTTAAAATTTCAAGATTAAGCAAGTATTGATAGAAACATCCTTTCGTAAGAAAAATGAAGTTCCGACCTTTGGCATTTTATGTTTGTTTTTAATTTCACGAAACGGAAAATTATTCTAACTCCATTTTCGAAGAGCAAGCTTTGCTTAATGCCACAAATGAGCGACCCCACGAACCCCAGTCATCGATTTTTCTCGAACTGCATTCGCATAAGGTCACGCAAGTTGAGATCGCAAGACTTTTCGGTTGCAGAACTCGGAAAATGCTGTCAGAGTCGATTTAGTACGTTTGCGTATGCAGCCTAGGATGTCGCGTGATTATGCCACATTTAGTACACTTGTGGTAGGCCTGGTGATCTGCTTTAGGCTATCAATAAGTAAAGGCATTCATGTCTAAAATCTGTTTTAATATGCGAAAGTTGAGTTGGCTAAAACGTGCAATCGAGCATTAGTAAAGGACAAGACTGTGCTGAACACATCCATTCAACTGTGACCTTTTGGCAACTGAAAGGACAAACGTCTCGGTGACGCTGTGCGTTCTGCTTCGAATGGGATGACAAGTGTGCATAACAAAGGAAGCCCCCACAATACCAATTCATGAGTCACGTGGTCAAATCAACCAATTGGATTACAGCAACAGTCAGATGCGTGACTCATTCGGGAATGGTTAGCTTTTGGTCCGCTTTGATTCAAAAGCACCAACTGGAGGTAACCACTTCGACGCTGTTCGAACTATATTTTACAGCCACCTAGAAATCATTTTAATGTTTAAACGCAAACCCGATCTGCAGGAACATGTTGAAACGAATGTATTAGTGAAAATGAATGACCTAGATTTGTCATTTTGCCAAAAGGATGAATTTAATTTGCCCTGCAGCAGAAGTTTGTCTTCATTATTCTTTTTTGTTTATAATGGCGTTGTGCTCCATCATCTAAAATTAAGGCAAACTTGCGTTGAATGTCTTCATTTGTGGAAAAACTATATATTTTGGTACGCTTTCTAAACCTCCGCATTAATTCACCATTTTCGAAATCTAATCGTTAGTACTACTGTTATTAATAAGTAACAGCAAATTCCTAAAAGTAAAAGTCCCTTGTGGTCTAAAAACGTTGAGTTTCTGCGACCAATGATATTATTGGATTAATATCCAACGTTTGTTTTACATTTCAGATTTCATCCCACGTACAAAAGAAAAGCTAATTGTTCTGCAACATTGATGTATTTTAACATAATTTCAAATCTACTCACCGTTTCTGTATGAGTAAGCCTTTGTTTTAATTGTCCGACGTCGCATAAGAAAAGCTGCAATTTCACTGCAAATTAAGCAAGTCTTAGTCACCAAACGCTAGCAACAGACGAAGGTAATGAGTGTACTTTAAAAGCATAAGTAAATTTGTAGAGATCAAAAAGCCACTTAACTAAGTAGGTATTAAAAAATAATTTCAAAAGGCAATAGTTGTCCATTTACGATCATAACAGACTAATGCGATTAA